CGTGTGGGGAGCAGAACTGTCATAAAAACACATGTTGATGTCTGGATATGCCATAGTTTTTCTAACCCTAACCCTATTGTATAAGACTAAATTCAGCTGAAAATGTATGTGTGTGTGTGTGTTGGGGGGGGGGGGGGGCGGGGGGAGGGTTACGTATATATTACATTGCAGGGACCAAATATCCTCATAATGTGATAAAATTCTGTTATTTTGACATTGTGAGCAACATTTTTTTCCGTCCCGGCAAGAGGAAACTCAACTTCACAAAAACCTGTGACTGTGATCAGAAAACTAAAAATGCCTAAAGACTCATATTTTGTTTGGTTACGTATGGTTAAGGTCAAGGCTGGGTAGGGGTTATGGTCGTCATTGCTCGGATTATGGTTTTGCCCATAGAAATGAATGGACGGTCCCCACAAAGATGGGAGTACAGGCGTGTGTGTGTGTGTGTGTGTGTGTACATACTGCGTATCTCCTGGGCTTTGGTAGGATAGCGTCGTTATCAGCTTGCTTAGGTTGTATGTAGTGCTCCCCTGGCAGCTTCTAAGGCTGACACGTGACATATTTCTACATCTGCAGTACTTTGTTTATGCACTAGGGGCGCATAAGCGACAGGAGAGAGTAGCCAATGCAGTCTCCAAAGACAGCTGTAGGGCAACTCCTCGTTCTTTCCAGTCTCTCTTTATCTCCGTTCTCGATTTATTATCTTCAGAAACAAAGAATTGTTGTGCTTTTTCTAGAGTTCCCTGCTACATCAGCTAAGCTCCTATACATTCTCATACATGCAAACAATGGAAACCAACATCATGACAGAAAACTAAAACAGTTGTTTTCATTGGTTTTAATTTAAAATTAAATGTACAATATAGTACAAAGCCTTTTACTATTAACAATATTAACAGAGAAAGATTTTTAAAATTAAATTCCGTATGATGCTTTCTTTCATCATTTATTTCATTTTCACTGTTGTATGGGTGATAGCAGCATGCTACATTTTGAACTGCTGCATCAGCGTGCAGGATTTCGCTTTAGAGTCAAAAAACATATTGTTGCAAACTACATTCACTTAATTAATCTAACAGTCCTAACATCTCATCTTCAAGCATGTAGGATGTATGTTGTTCCCGTAGGGATTTAGGCATAAAGATCCACCAAACATGAGCTGTTTACCATACTTAATAATATTTTTATATATGGCCTTCATTTCAATGAAGTAAAAAAGTAATCCATACAACCATTCCTTATTAAAGTGATAAATAAATTAAAGCTAAATTAAGGATTTCCGTCCACACATTTTCAAAATCCACCAGCAATGAAAAAGCAGATTTTACTGGAAAGGAATATTCCCATGTAGAGCTTAGTGTGCCTCAGCAGTTGAGCATAGAGTTTGGCCTTAAAATCCGGATGACCTTCCTTGCTCTGTAGTTGTACTCAAACTGCACATTTTCATGGAAGAAATATAGGTATCCTGTTGGAGAATATGACAAACAACACAAGAGTGTGAGATTACTTAATGTTCACTTCAAACACTTCAAAATTATGTTGATTCTCATTCAGTAACATAATTAAGAAAGAGCAAGGTATAATATCCAGCATATTTACCCCCCCATACCAATGGATTCTGGGCCATATCCACCTGTATTTCCTTAAATCTGTTTGCCAGTAACATTCGGGCAAGAGAGTCAGCACCAGAATCTGTCCAGAGTTCTGAATGATTACAGTTTGTTTGTACACACCCTGAAGATCTGGCGCTCATTTGCCTGACCATATGCGTATGATAAGTCACTTACCAGATGCGTAGCTAATGCGCTAAGAGGCTATCTGCACCGGAGTCAAAAGTTAAAATCAGATTGGGGCCAAATGGGGGCAGTGAGTGGCTTGGTGGGCTAAGTCTCTGTGCCAGTCATCAGAAGATTGTTGGTTCAAGTCCTGGAGATTTGATAACATTCCTTATCTGCTTCAAATCCAGAAACCAGAATTGGACCAGTATTGGTCCATCGTGCAAAAAGACACCAGGCCAGATCCAGTTTACAGTTTCAATATTTGGTTCAGATCCAGTTCAGACTCATCTTGTTATGTGGGCCCTGCTTTTCAATAAATAACCAGCCGGATTAAATTTGCTATGAGATTAGTGTAAAAGAACACTAATACTTGCATTTTAAAAATGAATCAGAATAAAAGCTTTTGCTACACCGGTAAACTAGTATGTGTTTTGGTGTTTAATAAGCATGATTTTTTCTTTAATAATCATCTGTTTTGGAATAAATTCAAAGACAGTGTACCATCATGGTAGGTAACAGCATCCACTTCTTCGCCAATCCCCGGGAAGTCGTCCTCGATAGATCGCGGATATCCTTTGTCCATTACACTGTGACTTTCATCGTAGCTAAGATAGAATCCCGTCAAAATTTAGCACATGCATAAAAAAGGTGACGTGGTCTTAGAACAGTACATAGGAACACAAAAATGGGAACAGCTGTTAGTCAAAATGCGTGGTACACACCTCCAGTAATCTTCGTCAGTGAACAGGAGGGTTTTGCCTGTGTCTCGTATGTAAACGGCTGCGTCTACTTTGCGGATACTTTTGGGGAGGCCTAACTTGTGGATGTACTTTGGGTATCCTTCAACCAGGGTATATCCATTTAAGGCCCACATCCTAATACCTGGGGGAATTAATACAACAAACAGAATCAATAGCCTTCCTGGACAGTATATTTTTTCATTTTATTTATCTATCCATACCTTTTCTATATCTGCTATCCCTAACCCAGGACTGGATGGCAGTCCAGAGTAGGACACAGACATTCACCTAAACTGCATGTCAGACAGTACCAGGAGCAACCCTAAATGAAGACTAGCATGCAAATTTCATACCCAGGATTAATCCTGGAGGTTGTGAGGCTATAACGCTACTGAATCACTGTCAGCTTGTTTCAGTAATTTCATGTCAGTATGCTTCACATACATCTATATTTTCAAACTTAATGCTTAGGTTTATTTAGCAATCATCCTTCGATCTACACAGATGTTTCTGTGGCATCCTTAATAATAAAACTGCTTTAAAAAAGATTACAGTCAATGTCTGTTGTCTATTTCAGTGGTAACAATGGAAAATGTGCTGACTGGACAGGAGCGAGACTGAACCAACCGCTGAAAATGAAAACCAGGTCTTTTTCAGGGTTTTCGTACGCTGCATTGACTCTGCTCGGAATCGACGGCCAGGTAGACTTGATCAGTGTCTGATCGGGCTCAGGAAGCTGGGGGTGTAGACGCCAATAGAACCTTACAAACAAATGAAAAAGCATACAATGTTTATCCCTCAAGGAACAATGATGTTTCCATTAGAAGCTCTTTAAAAGTAAAAAGTACAGCTGGTGTTGACTTTACCTGTCTTTGAAGAAGATCGTTTCTCCTCTGAGTTCAGTTGCTGCGTCGAAAGTCAGCTCCGGGTCACACTTATTTGGGGCATCTGGTTTTGGTTTCCTTTTACGAGAATTGGGGTTTTTGCCTGTTGCAGTCCAGGATTAAAACTTTAATGCACAAAAATCACCCAGCCCAGCAAGACTATATTTCTGACATGACACATCTCTTTGAACACCTTTACTGTATTCATCTGGCTGACAATCTTCAGCATACGCTTACCGTAAAGTGCCTGTATACCACTTATGTCATCCTCAGACAAGGGGAAACCATTTGAGTAGGAATAGACTGGAAACATCAGAGCGCCTGGGTCAGAGGAATGGGACAAGCCAAGAGCATGGCCAAACTCATGGCTAGCAACCAGAAACAGGTTGTACCCTTAAAAAAAAAGGAGACACGGGGAAATTCAGTTAATATTTAATTTCACCTAGAAAGGGGGGGGAGTTTCTATGAGCTCACTGCCATTAGACTTACCAGCTGAGTCATTTGACCATGTCTCATCCTCATCAAAGTGAGTGTCACCACCCATCCCTACTCCAGGAGGGTAGGCGTGGGCCAGGAGTCCATTAGGCCCATCAAAAGGATTGAAGTCACCATGTTCTGAAGGAAGAGTTAATAATGAGGGTGATTACAAGGTGAAAATCATACAGCAGATGGACTCATCCTTAGTAAGTGGGACCAGGGACAGCGATCTGCTGTTCGGTTGCAAAACTACAATGGTACTCATCTCACCTTTGGCTCCGAAGCTGATCATAATATCTGCAATCCCATCATACACTTTCTTGAACTTCAATGGCGTCACATCACTCCAGACACTCAGGGCATTGTGGATAGCTCTGTCCACATCCGACTTCTCCATATCTGGAGTGTAATTTGTAATCCTGCATATTTCAAGGACAAATATAAAAAGAATATTTTTATACTACTGATAATACTAAATTGTTAGCTATCTGCCACTAAATTAATATTTCCGAAATACTCTTGCATTTCCAAATTTCTATGCCATTTTACCAAGCTGTTTCTTAACCATCATGCATAATAAATTTTCAATATATATTTTTCTATTGTTCCATTTTACATAATTATCCATTACTTAAGTGTCGTTCCCAGAAATCCAGCAAATTATCAATTTGCATACATTTAGGTGTTTTATTCCTGGTTTTATTGTACATGAACTTCTGACCATGAGAAAATTTCCAGCAATATTAATGTTAATGTAATTATTAGTTAATGAAATGTAAAAATGTTTGTTCATAAATGTCGCTGTTTTATTCTATTTTCCAACATGAGTTAATTTTAATGCCTTTTCACATCTGCCATTATTTTCAGATATGTATTATAATTATTTTAAGAATTTCTTGAAGCTATTTAAATATTGGATGGTTTGAATTTTTTTTAACATTTTTGAGTCAAGGTACATTGTGAAGTTTTGATATCCACATATTTAGCAAATGGACATATTTCTTTTTTAGATATTTATTTCTGTACTCCTATAGCCTTGAACAGTTATAATGGCAGGTATGCCAGAATTACACCAATGGGTGGAGCAGTAGGATACACTGTTGCCTTGTGCCCCTAAGGTTGGGGGGAGGGGGTGGTAAATTTCACCTCCTCTGCTCCCCTAGAGTTTGCATGTTCTTCCCAAGTCACAAGGGTTTATTATTTTTAAAATTGTCTCTAAATTGCCTGTAGAGTTTGACTGTGAGCATGTGGTCTGAGATGGACCGGTGTTCTATGGGGGGGTGTACCGTTCTCCGGTTCCCTCCATGACCCTGCCTAGGAGAAGCTGATGAGTGCATGAGAATGTTATTGGTACTGCAGATTAGAGGCCTGGATGAATTCAAGGAATCTATTGTCTTGTCTTGTCTTGTCTTAACTGTGTCTGTACCTACTGTTTGTACAGCATGTGTGCAATGTCAAATTCCTTGTATGTGTCAACATACTTGTCCAGATAAACCTGATTGTGATTTTGAAGGACATTCATGGTTATTAACATAATTCTATATCCTATCTCACTGTCTCACCTGAATGTCACATTTGTTGTGGGCCATTTGAGGTTCCTCGGAAAGAGATTGTATTCTCCCACGTCGGGGACCCCACATCGCGGCGTGTGCATTACACCCAGGGTGTTGGTGTCCAGATTTCCCGTCACCTGCAGGCCGAAGAAAGCCTGCATCTCACGGATCTTCTGCCGCATCACGTCAGAAGTCTTCTCAACTCCTCGCAGCCCATTTGGAAGATTGTAGAACCTACGCAAGTATTTCTACAGAAGAAAAAGAAATGCTTTATGGCTGTGGACCCAACTCCGTTTATAAATTTTTGTATGATCCATACAGAATTATCAATGGAGTTCAATGATAAAGCTTAAGAAACAATAGGCAGCATTTTTAAATTTTTAGAATTTTCCTGTTTTCATCAGGAAACATCCCATTGCTTACAAATTTATTAGCATTGTAAACAATGTCTGAAACAATAATGTTACAGTTTATTATTATTTTTACCTACTCAGAAAAAGATGTCCTCAAAAGTCATTCCTTACTAGAGATTAGTTATAGAAAACCATTTAATCAAATGTCATTTTACAGGCTTAATATGGAAAGTAAATGGCTAATTTAGCTAAAATTATATAGTTTTCTATATGCATATAAAATATTTATGATAATATAAATAAAACGAAAACTCAGAACTCTGCTAAACATTAGCCAAACATCCACAGAAGTATGTAAAGTAGTTATAAGTTAATATATATTTATAATTTATAATATATACAGAAATAGACGTTATATGTTCCGTTTGTTACCATACAAATAAAGCATGAGGATTCACTAATAATTACACAAAAATGTCCTGTTTAAAACAAACACAGAAGTTGCTTACAGGTCTTTGCTTACCTCAGCTAATAGCCATTCGTCGATTTCTTTCTGGGACTGTTCTCTTGAAAAGGGTGCTGCACCAGAATGCGCAATAATCAAAAGGAAGATGATCACAGTGATTCCCATGTTATCTGTGAAGACCGCTATCATGAGCCTGGGTCAACCTTGAACGCCGTGACCGATATTTATAGTGCCTCCGGTGGCCTTTTCCCTCCCGTGATCCGGTGAGTAACCAAAAAACACCCGACCACTTCTTATTAAGTTCCCAAAACAAGGAAGTGCCTGTGGTGAGAGTCTGTTTGACCACCTTGAAGTCGTTTGCAGATTTTTCAAGGTTAAATGCTTAGTCAGATGCTCCCCCCATGTTTTTTTTTCTTACATAATATTTGAAAATGTGAAAAAAAAACTAAATTGGCTCAGTGGAGTGGAGGACAAAAAGAAACTGAAATTTACTGCTGAATCTTGAAAATCACAGCTTTGGGGTTGTGCTGCTGGGAATGAAACGAACCAGAACACACAGGCCATTTTTACACTTGGCTTTTTAAAATGTGTCTTAATATACAAAACCAAATACAGAGCCTGCACCTGGAATGAAAGCAATTTATTACTTAGGATAATCATGGCCACTCGACCATGCAATGATTTTATCATGTAGCATGAAAAAAAACTTTGCGCCGAGTTGTCCCAGCAAAACAGCAATTTGTCACAATCAAACGACCTTTGTAGACCCCCATCTCATAAGGCCATTCTGTATTTTGTTTTAAAAAATTTTGATAAGATGGTGCCCTATTGCCTCCCCCCCCCCCGCCACAAATGACTGCGCTTCCATGCTTATCTGAGTAAGTTGCTATATTGGTCCCAGACGAGAAACACCACAAAAAATGGAGAAGCCTGATTCCGTTCAGCGTTCCTGTAAATGAAGACTATCTGCCATTGTATTCTATAACCCAGTCTTTATAATGGAACTGCTAACTAAATGATTGGCTGACGCTACTGGGCTAAAAATATATAAAAAATGTGTGTTTTTGTGGGTGTCACCTCTGTCGTGTGTGTGTGGAGTTTGCATGCCCACCCCCCATGTAAAATGGGTTTCCTTCAGACACTTTGGTTTTCTGCTACACTCTAGATGCATGCAATTAGGGTAAATCACGTCTGTGAATCGCCCATAGTGTGTTATAAGTGTATGTGCCCAGTGAGGGACTGGCATCCCGATCACAGTGTACCCAGCCTGTGTTGCCTGTGATAGGCTCCAGGTCCCCCCCCCTCCCCAACTCTGACAAAGATATGTGGTTGGAAGATGGATGGATGAATGGAAATGTTATTGGCACAGTAGCTTAGAGATAAAGGACATGGGTGTCATTTATAATGGCAATTGACATCCTGACCCAGAGTGTCACCTGAATGTCACATTTGTAATATATAGATAGATTCATCATTTAATAAACCAGATTGAATGTTGTTATCTTTGAGGAAGGTATTGCGACGTCAGATGCTCAACCACAACAGCAAAACTGGAATTGCAGGGGTAACATCTGTTGGAAATTAGGACAAGTTATAACAAGCTACACCTGTTACAAAAAAGGTGATTATTAAAGGATGACAGGAATTTCTAAACTCTAACAGTAAACTGTGAAAAACAACCACGTCGTCCAATAATCAATTTTGTTGTGTGATATTTAAAGCTTTCAAATGACGCATTTAAAATGGCATTTAGAAGTGAAATTAAATCATTTGCAAGTCAGTAAAATTAAGGGCTTTTCGGCAAGCTTGGCTGGACCCTCTACTGTGTGAAAAAGATAAAGATGAGTATGAATGCAGACGGATGAATGAAAAAAAAAGATATATGTACCATGTCAAGGCCTGTACAAATATTAGCTGATGGCATGTTATTTGATACAATACTTGACATTGTATCTCGTCTTCTGTGGAGAACACATATTTCTGTGACATGTACAGTATAGTCATCTTACCAATAAGTATAAATAACTTCAAGTACCAAAAATGTTTTGTAACTGTAGAGCTAAAGGACAGGACTGCCATGCAGGAAATGTGCATTGATAATCCGTACTATTTAGATATTAAATGGACTGGGGATAGTGCTGACTTTGACCCTGATTAGATATTAGCTAGAGTGGCGGTAGGCTGTATGGACATAAGTATTCCAGTTCAACCCCAGCTGCAGCATCTCTTGATCAAGGAGCTATAAGGGGGGGGGGGGGGGGAGTTAGGATAATTCCAAGGGCTCCTGAGTGACAAAGGTCCCAAGAAATTTAAAACATAACTGAATTGGTCTGGGCCCAATAACCTATCACTTCATTGGGTCCACAATCTCTACACTCTCAGAAAAAAGGGTACAAATTTGTACCTTTGCTTGTCACTGGGGGGCTGTGCCCTTGTAATTGTACCTTTAAAGGTACAGACATGGACTCTAAAGAGGATCCCAAAGGTACAAACAGCATCGATGGTACAGAAATCTTCCTCAGAGTCCATTTCTGTACCTCAAAAAGTACAATTTCCTACAGCTAAGGGTACAACTGGCAGACCCTTGAAGGTACCGCCCCAGTGACAAACAAAGGTACACAAATTTACCCTTTTTTTCTGAGAGTGTAGCAGCGCCCCAGCTCCCAAACACAGGTCCTGGGTCACAGTCAGGCAGGCGTCTAAGACCTCAAGGACTGGGCCCACTGCACAACAGAGATTAAGAGTAGGTTCTATGTTTTCATGACAGCACATTTTTTTGCAGATAAGATGCTCATATCTGGGTGAGTAAATTTCCTAATTTACATAATCCAGCAGAGTCATGGACGTGGAAGCTTGATTGAATTCCCTTTTGAGCAATGAAGTTCTATTTTAGTCTTTCAAACTAGCAAAAATAATACCCAAATGGCCCAGGGCTGAATATTGATCTTAGGGACCTTCAAAAACCATCTTAAAGTTCCAGAATAAAATGTTTATGTCAATACCTTTATCTATGCTGTATAGCTGGGATAGGACCAAACTGTTGGTTACAGAGTGAGAAATACAATAACCAATGTCTGTGTGCAGGTAGAAGACATAAAACCCTAAAAAACACTCACTATTCTTACTTTGGTGTCTTTTTCTTCTTTGTGTTGTTGTTGGAACTGAAAGAGCAGTTTTGGATGTTCGTTCTGTTAACACGACCTGTTCTGCCCCAAGGGTACTACTAAGCTGTTCTGCTAATGTGACTTTAATGTGGTGTAAACACTTTACGTATCATCTTTGTTCTTTAAGTTTAGTTTTTGTGCATCACAATCATTTAAAATCATTCTAATCTACTGGTATTTCAGTCAACAACTGTGTCAGAGTAGGGCAATAAACGCAATTCTCTCTCCCTGAGCTTTAGCCTAGCTTAGCCAAGCTAAGGTTAATGTACTGCTGCGCGCGCCTTTGCCCTTCTGTACATACTGCATGTGGAACTTATTTCAAAATATGTGTCTTCTCTGTCCCTTCCTCTGGTGCCTCTGTGCCGATGATGTATTTGACCTGTATTTTACAAGTAAAACATCTTGCTGTAGGCCTATAATTAGCAAGTAGCACAGAAATATCTCCACGAAAGCTAGAAAATATTCGGTTAAAGGTCCTATAGAGAAACATTTTTTTTGAACATCAGTTGGAATTTTGAACATATATGAATATAAAATGATTCATTTTTAGACTAATGGGGATACAATAAAAAATGAGACACACACACACACATTAGAAATTGCTTAGCAAGCAGTTCTTTTTTATTCTTTTGCTGTTCGGATCATCAGAACAGTTTTTTTTGTCATCTCCAAACTGCTGAGACTAAGAAGAGGTACAGCGTGCTTAATTTGAGCCACTCAGGCATTACTGACATGACCTTGAATCACATTGCGGGGAATTTCCTAGGATTTTTTTTTTCTATTAGAAGAAAGCAGCAGCATGCAGACTCAGTAAACATCTGGCACTTCTGAGGGGGAAACTGGAGTCATGCTGCTACTGAAAATGCATGTAAACACAAAATTTAGTCAGGGGCTAGAAGGCAGCAGCATTAATTTCTAAATGAGAACATCTTAATCGAGAAATTAAAGTACAGAAAGACGTTTTATTTAGATTTTTTCGTCCTGGTTTGCTGCAATGTTTAGAACCTTCGAAAAATATTTCCATTGCTCAATGACAGACGTGAGGTAGACATACTAACCCCTGATTTTCATAACTCCAGAACTTCTACACTTCTGATACCAATGTCTATTTATCTAAGAATAGTTCATATATTTAAATGATTCATACTTGTACTGCTTAGCCTGTACAGTAGCAATACAGTTCAGTTGCAAACTGGGTCAGAAAAAAAAACTTGCTTGGGAGAGAAAAATCTACCGTAATACAGCAGGTGGCTGAGTAATAGGAGGAAGATAGTTAGGACAGAGGTAATTAATAATCAGGTATTTATTTAATGCAGTTTTTTAAAGTTACATCATTTTTTATTAAATCTGTCCATCCATCCTCCAGCCCCGGACCAGTCACAGAAGGGCTTGAAGTTTATCTCACACTGGCTAAGATGCTAAGGCATCACAGGGCACATGCACACACACAGGCTCTGGGCAATCCTCCACGGAGTGTGGGCACATGCACACACACAGGCTCTGGGCAATCCTCCACGGAGTGTGGGCACATGCACACACACAGGCTCTGTGCAATCCTCCACGGAGTGTGGGCACATGCAGGCTCTGGGCAATCCTCCATGGAGTGTGACAGAGCTGCTTTAGGGAGATCCCCTCTGTTCCATTTTTCATAACCGCTTATCCGGGGTCACTTTGAGCTCGGATCCTCGATCCATCTTCTTATCCCATCCACTAATCCCAGTCAGAGCCTTAGGAGCTGATGCCAGGCAGGATAAGGCTGGGATACACTCTGGGCAGGATGCCAGTGCTTCTCAGGGCGCATAGATGCAAACATTCACACAGACTATTTAGGGACACCAGTTGTCCTAACTAAAACTGAATCATGTGACATGGGGAGGACATGCAAATGTCACATATGGAGGGGGATTCAAACCCTCATCCCACTGTGGAGGCAGGATTCAAACTCACATCTCACCGTGGAGGTGGATTCAAACTCACACCCCAGCATGGAGGAGGATTCAATCTCCCATCCCATTGTGGTGGGGGATTTAAACTCACACCCCAGCATGGAGGGGGATTCAAACTCCCATCCCATTGTGGTGGGGGATTTAAACTCACNAACTCACACCCCAGCATGGAGGGGGATTCAAACTCCCATCCCATTGTGGTGGGGGATTTAAACTCACACCCCAGCATGGAGGGGGATTCAAACTCTCACCCCATGGCTGAGGGGGGTTTCAAGCCCCCATCCCGCTGCAGAAGGGAAAGTCAAACCCACACCCCACCGCAGAGAGGGGATTCAAACTCCCACCCCACGCCTGGAGAAATGAAGCAACAATACAAACCACTGAGTCATCAAGCTGCCCAACCTTATATACACACAGGGCAGGAGATAATCAGGATGGGCGAGCCATGATAGGTAGTTGACCCTGGTAAGAGATCATCTGCCAGAGGATTGTAGCCAGACCCCAGAGATACAACCACATTCTACTGTATTAATATCAATCCATAGGAGTGTTAAATACCCAATGCCCCCCAAACAAACAGGACAGACAGTGAACATCAGGCTTAACCAGCCCTGCCCCATGCTATTGAAACAATTACATGGATGCTAAGTCATTGCACCTGTTATTGACAATAACATGCTGATATGATGTATTTTCAAAAACCTCAAAGGCACCTTAGCTAAACAAAAATCTTCGAATTATCAGAGAGAAGTATTTTTCTTCATAATGTGCATTTGCACAAAGAAGTAGATGCCTGCTTAACTTGATTTGTTCCAGAGCAGCCGTATACATCTCATACTATTTGTCCTAACTTCCCCGTTTTACAAAACAGAAAAAAAAAACTTTGCAATGCTACTCTGTGGATAATGATTGGCAGCATGGTGCAACAGAGTAAATCCATCTAAGGAGGGCAGTAAGAGCGCTCTCAAGGCAAGGATTACACTAACTGAATGTTTTTCTCAGAGTGGAGGGCCTGTTTTTGTGTCAGTGCAGTCCTTGAGCCGCAACACGCATCCATACTAACAATTTAGACAAGATATGCACAGTATGTAGATATTCTTACCTTCAGGCGTGGGGCATGTTCTGTTGCTTACAAAGAACTGTGAAGATACAGTACTGTGCAAAAGTCTTAGACAATCAAGGAAATTATTTAAAGTTATTTATCTGGGTATTAAGCGTATAGTTGCTCAGAGTTTAACATTAGATTGCAAATGATATGCAAATGAACAGTAAAAAAAATCAAGAATTTCTTCTGTTCTCCAGAAAATATTCATCTTTTGTTCAGTATTGTGTATATTGGGGCCATTCCCTGAGCTCGCTGTAACAACAGAACGACTCCCGATTTTGTGTTGGCATCTCTGGAGACGAAAAAGGGGCTTGAGTCGTCATCTTTCTTTTGAAAAATGAGGTCGAAAGCTTCTGAGTGATGACTAGCACCGTACAGGCTGAGCATTAAAAACAAACTGAGGCCGTAACTGAATACGTGCGACGCGGTGAGGCCGTGGTTGCCACGTCATGTTGTGCAAGCAGTTGCGTTTCCACACTTTGGTGGGCTGGTGAGGCAGGTCAGCATTAAACAATCTCCCAGGAGTACGCATTGAGCAACAGCGGTGTAAAGTCCCACATATAACAAAACTGAAGAGTGACAGAGTTGCACTTCTACATAATCTCCTGGAAAGCCATGGTAGAAGATGCTTTCGACAACATGAAATGTGATAGGAAGACAAGTATAGAAATAAAACAACAACAAATCCCTAAGGATTACAATTTTAGGCCTCACATCTGACGGCACATCTGACTATTGCAAGCTTTGCGTTGGGCTTTAGTGGTTCCAGTGTTTTCCGCGGAATGATACACAGATTTCACAGTGGCATTGTGATGCGTCTTCTTAAAACCCGGAGGAATCCCATACAATGAAAACGAATGAAAAACAGTAAAAAAAATTACATATATATATGTGTGTGTGTATATATATGTATGTCTAAAATACACAGTTGCCTCACACCAGGGTTCGAGTCTTTGCCGTGACTCCATGTATGTGGAGTTTGCATGTTCTCCCTGTGCAGCTGTCGGGTTTCCTCTGTTTTAAAGAGCCAGACTTGGAATCTGCTCATACTCGCGATACATGGATGAAAGCAGGTAGTTTCCTAAATGCAAATTCATTGTTTTAATACGAGGAATGATTTTACTAAACCGGTTACATAACCTGCACTATTTCCAGAAAAAATATTCAATAACATTAATATACTCTAATAACCTGAAATGATGGAGTCTTCAAAGTCAAATAACTTTCAGCACCCCAGGCATTTGCTGGCTGGTCCTTCAGCTTCTCAGAATCTATTCCATATCTGAAAGAGGCTGACTGCTGCTGCATCCTTAATCATGGTCTATCCCACATAAACTCTCCCTTGTGGCTTTCAGTTCCCCATCAGACCCACCCGGAGAACATCACTATTTGTAAAGACCTAAGCTGCATATTGTATAACTAACGGACTAAAATACAAGACTACTTACATGTCTGTAATACACTGTGTTCCTGGAGATGAAAGTATGGGACTTCCAGTTTAAAATGCATAAGCTATCTATGTACGACAAGCACAGCAGATCATATTATCTGTTTGTTGTTATTCACTGTCGCTAATTCAGCTCTCTTTCCCCAATTTCCCCATTCAGTATCTGCTCATGACATAGATTGCAAAGTCAGCCTCCTTCTGTCTTATACAGCAGGATGAGGTAAGACCCGACTCCGGCCTGTGCATTGGAAACAGATGAGAGCCAGTAGTAACAGCTGTTTCGTTCACTCAGTGACCACCAGCTCGACATGGAGATATGAAGCTTCTCCAAGATTATAGCTTTGCTGAAATTCTTTCTGGAAGTAGGATTTAAAGTTTTAAAATTCACTGCTGCTTAGGGAGCACAGTTTTTCTTTCTTTCTGTTGCTCCCCTCCAAATTTGCTTCTGAACACAAACTCATTTACGGGATGGACAAAAATATCCTCAGCTCCATGGGATTAGCTGTGTCATTACGAAGTCAAATCATGATGGAAATGCGAGAGTCTTAAGAGTTCATCTGCATTGTTTGCAGGCCGATGCATCACAAGGGCAATCAGAATCCGGCATGTGAGCCTGAAAAGCTCCTCAGCCTGTCCAGCCCCCCCCGTTTACGAAGCATAGCGTAATTACATTAAAGGGACAGTGCTGTGAATTGATACACACCTACATAAATGACTGTTAATATATGTTTTTAGCCAAGCTTTTAAATTTCCATCAGAACAGAGTTGTGGTATCCTGACTTCCGACCTAAATTACCATATTCTATCTGCACAGAACCTAATTCCTATGCATATTTTGATTGGCTTTCAGCACACAGATTTGTCACAAATTGTAACAACCTTGAAAGGACGAAAAGTACAAACCACGAAACATCCAATAATCTAACAAGAACCCCCCCCCCTGTTTTTTTTCTACTATTTGAATGATGCATTGCATCTGGAATTAAAACTGACATGATATCTCATTTCTTGACCCCTCCCTAATTCCCTCCCGCCATTTGAGGCTTCTTCGGTTTAAGCGAATATGAGTCATGACACCAACCTATAAGACGCTCACGTTTAGCTAGATTTGGTGTGAAGCTGCATGGTTCTTTATCTGTCTGAGTTCATCCTATCCTACTTTTTTTTGTCCTTCCTTACACAATGAACTATCTCTTGCTTCCCTGGCCCTGGGCTCTGGTTTTAGTGCTGAGCCACGCGTCCCGCGTGGTAGCGGCGGTGGAACAAAGCAGAGATCAAGAAACGGAACTTCACAGAGGATCCGCCGCCAGGGACCTGACACTAGCTACAGTAAGTGTGGATCTCCTGTTGAAATGAAATGACTGAATGAAAGACTGAATGCGCGTTTCTTGTGCTAAACAGAGCAGAACCTGAGCTGCACATAATACTGTAGAAATACTCGCCTACCAGCACTGCCAAGATATAACTAGAGGTCATTATGATGTTGTGAGATAATGCAATACGTGCAGTCTTTCCATATAATAGGTGTGGAAGGTGAAGGGATTAGTTTACGAGTGTTAATATGCAATGAGGTAATGAAAATTTTTATTTGTGAATATCTTTATCACATTCCTTACATTCCCACATGTAATCACACAAAACGAGAGCGGGGTGGGCGATTATGAATATAAAGAACGCCTTAGTTGATAATCATTCAATTACTGTGTGGAAAAACTGTCAGATATTAAATAATGTGAGTCGTTAAAAGTTTTAAAGGTCACACATAAATATTTGGCACAGGTCCCTGGAACAAATAGATCATTTCAGTATATTCTTAATCACATTAGGTTTTTTTTTCCACATGGTGTGTGCCTGGGGGTTAGGACTTGGCACCTGGGATCAGAAGGTTGCCGGTTCAAATCCAGCAGTTGGAAAATTGATGCCCAAGGCCCTTAACCCCGAATTGCCCAAAAGCTGCTGGATGCTGAGTGACCCTGCATTGTGACCCCACCAGCTTACTCTCACCTGTCTGTGTGGCTCATGGAAATCAAGACCAGTGGCCTGTACTACGAAGCGGGGTTACTGGCTTATTGGGGTAACTTGTCGGATTTAAGGTAGTCTGGGCAAAATGTAAGTAAACGAATATGAAGTGCATTTAAACTGTGGTACTTTAAATCCGACAAGTTACCCCGATAAGCCAGTAACCCCGCTTTGTAGTACAGGCCACAGATCGATACAAAAAAAAAAAACAATGTAATAAATAAAGTATCACTATTCTACAGTAAATCACAAACTATTAAATGAGTTCATGGTAAATGCAAAAATGTTATGCAGAGATTGCATTACTCTCTGTCTTTAAATGCAAAGGAGCTCTTGTTTACTCAAAATGCTGCATCATGTGATACATTATGCAGTATGTTTAGAAGGACAGTGTCCAGCAGCCACAGCATTCTCTATACGTCAGTCACAGTGTGCTGCAATTCATACTGAGCCCAGCGGCTGCAGAAGGTCAAAACATGATAGAGAAAAACAGAGAAGCAAAAATTCCATCTTGCATCCCTTTCGAGAAGTTTGCAACACTATGTGTTGAAACTCACATACAGTATTTAAGGTCTGGAATTGCAGCGATGAGCACAGGTATGAGCTCTGTGAATCATGTGCAGGGAAAACAGCCCAAATGCCTGTAGAAGTTGTGCCAAGACATGTAGAAATGGTGGTTTGCTTTGAATTCAGAATATACGTTGAGTTTAATAAATGCACGGTTTTAAAATAGTTCTTTTCAATGATTTCTCTGCGCACAGACTTTAGAAGTGTGAGGTTTTTGATGGTGGGAGATTCCACTGGGAAAGTAAACAAACAGCCACCTCGCTCTGTTGTAGACTTTTCACGGTTACGCCTGTGCCCCTTCTGATGTCAGGAATACCTCCGGCGGTATTACGGCCTGCAGACAGAGCCCTCCTGGCGCAGGAAGCGGAGCGACTCCTCACTCGGAGACAGATTGCGAGACATGCAGCGTTTCTTTGGCCTCAACGCTACCGGCAGCCTGGACTCAGAGACCCTGGGGGTCATGAAGACCCCGCGGTGCGGAGTACCTGATGTGCTGGATTATACTGATAATACTGGGAGCAGGTGGACCAAGAGGATCATTTCATACAAGTAGGTCTTCATTACCTGTACAGCAACGTGCTGGACTATCATGGCAATGTTGTACTTACGCCAGTTTTCCACAAATGCACCCAAAAGGAGGAGCAGCATGGTGGTGCAGTGGTTCGCACTGATGGGACCAAAGTTTGAGTGTCTGCTATGGTTCCGAGTGTGTGGAACCTGTTCTTCCCATGTCATCGTGAGCTTCCCCCCCCCATAGTCCAAAAACATGCTGATGTTAATCAGTGTTAGCAAATTGCCTGTATAGGTATGAATGGTGCGTGAGTGTGTCCTATGATGGCTTGGAGCCCCATCCTGGGGAGGTCCCTGCTTTGCACCCATAAGCTCTAGACTCCCTGCAACCCTGAACAGGAGTTACAGAGGATGGATGGAACATGGAGAGCTGGACCAAGCCAAGAATGACTTAGTTTGTTCCCATTAGCAAAAAAAAAAAAAGAAGATTATATCAGTTATTGGCCTGATGAGATGCTATAGCACCTGCTGTACCACAAATCAGCCACCAAGAGCATGAACATTATTTTCAGGAGTCAGGGTCTGAAGGATGTTTTAAGTGTCTTCATTTCTCCTTTAGGTAAGTGCTTGCATACTGAATTCAGGGTTCGGCCATATGCTCTGGTAACATCATACTCAGCCACTGCTAAGCTACTGTCTTATACATTGAGAACTTAAGGAAACATTGGAATGAAGAGCTTTGTGCTGTGTCCCAGCATTGGCAGATACACCAGTGACATCTCTCCCGCCACTGTTGACCGCTTGATTGATTCTGCCCTCAACGTCTGGGGAAGGGTCAGCCCGCTGACCTTCGTTAGGTCATTTTCCCGTGAGGCAGACATCATGGTGGACTTTGCAGCCCGTGGTAGGTGAGAACTCCAGCGTTAATCCCATCATTAGGTGCATACACATCTGTCGCTCAATATGCCTCTTCTTTCTGTTTGCCATCTCTGGCCTGTGGGAGCAGAGCACGGCGATTCCTACCCCTTTGATGGGCCCCTGGGCACGCTGGCCCACGCTTTTGGCCCTGGGGAGGGCATTGGAGGCGACGCCCACTTTGACGATGATGAATTATGGACTGCTGGGTCACATGGTAATTTTGAGGCGAGCTAAATGACTTTATTGCATTTTCAGCTTGACAGATTCATTGACCAGACACCAGGACAAAAACGCAACTGCTTATAGCAAACACTGCTCATTGTTTCCCATGTTAATTACTATTTACAGAAGGTTCTTGTCTTTTTTATGTCTTTCACACTCAGGGTTCAACCTGTACCTAGTTGCAGCACATGAATTTGGTCACTCCTTGGGTCTTGGGCATTCTACTAACCCAGAGTCCCTTATGTATCCTACATACAAGAGACAAAACCAACACAACCTGCTTTCGAGGGAAGATGTCGTTAAAATCAATATCCTTTATGGTAGGGGATCTCTGTCATCAACCAATATCGGTGGGGGTTTGTGATCTTGCAGTTAAGCAAAGGGAATAGAGGATGTTGAAAACTGATGAAGTGCTTTGACGTGGTATAGGAACAAGAGGAATCCTGCCATATTACTATTCAAAGACAAGTTCGAGTCCCTACTACAACATCTGGAATCTAGTTCCTCGGTATCCTCTTCTGATACAAGATAAATGCAACCCAAATCTGTCTTTCGATGCTGTTACATCAGTGGGAGATGCCAACATGTTTTTCAAAGACAGGTAAGATCTAGATCCCAGAACCCAAAATAAACAGTCACCAATAAACCATGACAAATAACTGTAATGTAAAATGGCTTTGGGCAAAAACTTTGAAATTTCAGACTCATTAAAAGCTCACCGTTTTAAAATTAATTTTGGGAATAAGAACTGCAAGTTGAAAATTTGAAAACGTACATCGGCAAACGAACTTTATCAGTCATTCACTTTTCTTCTCGATGAAGCTATCTCTGGATCAAGTACGACCAACAGTGTGAGATTAAAGAAGGTCCAGTCAGAAATTTCATCCCGAAAATTGACTCGAACATCGATGCTGCCTACTCCATTCCCCAACGGTCCCTCGTTTACCTATTTAAAGGTACCAGCAGAACTTACCTACGTCTTTTATCACCCTGGGATGGGTTATCTGTTGACGGCTTCATATTCTCTTCATGCTTCTATCCCCCAATCCTAGCATCCAAGTTCTGGACCATGAAGGGATCCCAGGTGAGAAAAAAACCGAAATCCATCTACAAATTTGGGATTTCCAAAGAGGTGGAGCGCTTAGACGCAGCGGTGCATGTGAGCGACATGGGGCACACTCTGTTATTCGTGAAGGACATGTACTGGAGGTAATGTATGCCCTTCAGATGCAGACACAGGGCCTGGTGCGGCGAGCGCACACCTCGGCGTTAAGGAAAATTTGATGAAACAAATTTTTACAGTTACAATGAAAACCGAAGAGCTGTGGTAGACTCCAAACCCCGGTATATCAGCGAGGATTTCCCAGGGATAAATGCATCAATAAGTGCAGCGGTACACAAAGACGGTAAGTATATTCCTATATATAATACACAAAATATACTACAGTTGATCCTTCCACATCACAGGGGTTAGGGAGACAGGCCCCTACATTATGTCTTCTGGCCCCCTTGGCGAGCAAACCAAGTGAAAAGATACGAGAAACGTGAAATAGAAAGATCCCTCAGAAAGATCAATAGAAAGATCACATAGGGAGATCACTCTGAGATATCACAGAGAGGCTTCCATACACACGTCCTCCAAACCAGTACTGTACATGTATTTTTGCATTTATGAGTTGCTAATTTTTTTTGTACGTCGTCTGCCGCTTTCACAAAGCTCCCAAAAACAAAAATCCCTCTAATTACTTATACCGACCCCGCAGTATATCAAAACCATGATAAGGAAGAAGGTCGCAATTCAGAAGGGTTCACTGTACAATGATATGGCTCTTTTGTGCTGGGTAGGTCTTTGAATTTAAGATAAAACTCCAGTGAATTGAGATAAATTCATTGTCTGCCTAATCTGCCAATGGGGTAATATCAGTGAATGATATTATCATATAATGCTGCCGCTTGAAAGCAAATGAACGTCTGTTTTGTGCTCCCCAGGTTTCATCCATTTCTTCATCGGGCCAGTAGTTTATAAGTATGACTATGTCCAGAAGCAGGTCGTCAGCGTGGGCAAAGCAAACAGCTGGTTGGGTTGCTAAGATATATGAAGATGTTGGCTGTTGATTTTAATATATTCTGTCAAGATGATCAATAAAATTTTACTTTAACTCAAAAGGTTTCTGTCTTGTTTTTCCATTCTTTGTAATTGTCCCAGATTAATTCACATTTCATGATAAAATGAATGATACTTTATGGATCCCTGTGGGGAAATTCTCTTTTTGCTTACCTCATCTTGCTCTCCATGACACACATGTAGGTGAGAGCAAGCTTGGCAGTGAAGGGCAGCCCCCCCATAGCGGCCTTGCTCAAGGGCCCACAGACATGTGACTATCCTGCTGAAGCCAGGCTTGAAGTGGCAACCTTCCGATCACAGGCCCAGAGGCTCAGCCCACTGAGTCACTCCAATATATAATAGCAGGTGGACTTACAGATAAACTAAATACACAATTAACAAAAAGAAGTTCACATTTAAGGTTAGCACCATAGTTTTTACTGAAATTAATGACGCAAGAGAGGACTGTTTCTAGGTTGAAATTTAAACTCGAAAAACTTACCCTTTAGGGCAATGTTTCTCAACCCATTCCTTGGGAACACCCAGACAGTCCACATTTTTGCTCCCTATCTGGAGCTGGGAGGAAGCAAAAATGCAAAAAATCTGGATTATCCAGGGGTTCTGCAAGGACCAAGTTGGAAAACACTGCTAAGGGATGGAATATTGGGACAGAGTAGCTCAGTAGGTAGTGAATCATAGGGATGGTCTGGTCCCTCTCAGCTATGTGTGTAGGATTTACAAGTCCCCTCTGTGTTTGCAAGAGCTTCCTCCATACATGGCTTCCCTTCACAGTCCATAGACGTGGTTTAGGCGAACTCGTGTCTATGAATATATATGAGAGTTGTGTGTGTGCCCTACAATGAACTGGCAATATACCCAAATGACCCCACTTTGTGTCCTGTGCCACCCAGGATAAATGGATGCTTTACCAAAATTATACGAACAATCTGGTTGTTCTGCTAAAACATCAATGAAGTCTCTCTACACAAAGGCCATTTTTGGTTCACAGGAAAAAAGAAAAGCGTGACATGGTCTGATGCAATTTTGTTTTCTGAGCAGATTAACCTTGATCTAAAGCCACCACAAGATGCTGTTACACACTCAGTGTAGTAAATCTGTATGTATTATAGTAACATTGCTGATTCAAAATAAGAAATTAAGCACTGCTATATCATATTATTGGCGGCACCATATCTAACTCAACTGCAAAATCAACTACCTACATGATATTCACAACACAGCTTGTGCGACAGGTGATGGAGCTCATGTTCCTTGCAGTTGTTCTCATTTCAAACATCCAAGACCAGAGCTACCAAAAAGAAAACAAGACATTACCTCATCAGGGCTCAGAGTCAGCAGCAGCTCTGCTGTAAACCGCTGGTCCCTGGCCGCTGGTTACAACCTACAGGAGGACTCTGTACACACACGTGATTCATCTACCGCGGGATTGTCTCCTGAAAAAAACGCGCTCGGCCATACAAAGCCAGAAGTCTTACCACTTCAGCTGAAGGATGCAGCCCTGGATCTCACTCCTGTACCTGCTTGTGGGCATCGGCCCGTCGGGGACATCGCCCATCGCTCGGGAGTCGCAGCCGTGCTTGGAGGACGTCAGATTCGCTGAGGTTGGCGGCAGCACCGGATTCTCATTCACCGTTTATTTCCATCTTGCAACAATACATTTACACCCTATACTGCATAAGTGATTATGGAAAATATACAGAAAAACAAATGAAAAGTTTATGGGGAAAAATGCCCAATAAATACACTTACCATACATGAACCTTAATTTCTTAAGTGTTTTAAATATTTGCCACTTGTTGATTTAGTTTTCTATTTATTACATGCATAGTGAATATATTGAATAGTAATATATACTGTATTTTAATATATATTTTAACAATATATAAATGTTTGTTTCTACAACTTTTACTATAAATCGATCATTTTTGTTTTTCGGGTTGTTGAAATTTTCCTATAAATCCAGAAAGGCTTGTTATTATACACGTGTTAAAACTGTACTTTGCATAATGCATAAACAATGTATCTCTGAGCATGCAGCAGGCTTTGAGATGATTATAGTGAGTTTGCTGAGCTGCATGGTTACTTAAAGGAGTACCTGAGAAAGTTCTACCATCTGGATGTGAGCCACGGACTTCGCAGCAAGAGGGACGTCACAGCCGTGGAGACCAAGATTGGAGAGATGCAGGACTTCTTCGGCCTGGAGAAGAGCGGTCAGCTTGACCACCGAACCCTGGAGGTGATGAGGAGGGAAAGGTGCGGAGTGCCGGATGCTGAGCAGTACAGTTCCCAGCCCAACAGACCCAAGTGGAAGAACCACACCATCACTTACAGGTGCGGGTCCAGGGAGAAAGATGTCCTGTTTCTCACAGACAGGAACAATATATTTGCAGAATTAAGGTTAGACTTACTGCTTTGACTCAGTTTCTGATTCTTCTCATGAGAAATTATCTCCATTTCAACTACCTCAGGACACCGTGAAATGAGGTTTCTAAACGATCTTAGCTGATTATTCTCCTTGCCTATCCCACCATGTATCCCACTCAAAATGTCCTTTATTTCTTTATATGAAATGCCCGTAGTTTAATCTCTTGTGCTGTTTATTCCTACGAGAGAAATATTAGACATAATTCTAAGAAGAAAAGATGATTTACTGAGTTGTAAATAAGAATTCATGTGACCTTTTGAGGCTGGAGTGGAGAACTGTTAGAGATGGATGCTGATAGGCAGACAGATTCTGGATAAATCATAACACGAGACATATACTAGGCCCAGTTACATATGACGACCTACAGGATTCAGAACTACACACCCGACCTGACAAAGCAAGAGGTGGAGAACACATTCCGCAGAGCCCTGAAGATCTGGAGCGATGTAGCTCCACTGAAGTTCATCAGAGTTGACCACGGGGAAGCAGACATCATGATAAACTTTGCTTCGAAAGGTACTGGTTGTGATCATAATTGACTGGATACGATAGACCAGTGGTGGCCAATCTTATCCGCAAAGGGCCGGTGTGTATGCAGGTTTTTGGGATAACCTGTAGGTCAGCTGTTCAAACCCAGGTGTGAGGACTCCTCAGCCAATCAATCCTCTAAGTAGTAATATAATTAAGGAGCTGCAGCGGATACACATACACACCGGCCCTTTGCGGATAAGATTAGCCACCCCTGCGATAGACAGTAACTGACTCTGTTTCTCCATCACAGGAAATGAATGTTTGCTGAATTCTGATTGCATGCTAACCCAAGGAGGTCGCCACACTGATCTGTGAACTAGTCACACCTAACAAAAACAAACGACTTTCCTCTTCACCTAAAGGCCACGGCGATTTCTTTCCCTTTGACGGCCCCCGCGGCGTACTGGCTCACGCTTTTGAACCCGGGGAGGACATAGGGGGTGACGTGCACTTTGATGAGGACGAGGTCTGGAGGATGGGACGCCGTAAGCCTGGTAATGCCTGGCCTTGACGTCGAGGAGTCTGAGTGGGCGCGGTGATAAATGGGGCCGGTAAGAATGTGGGTTGTGACATGCCGTCTGTTTCAGGTTACAACCTGTTTACTGTGGCTGCTCACGAGCTGGGACACTCCCTGGGTCTCTCTCATTCCAAGGACCCTTCGGCCCTCATGTACCCCAGCTACAGATACAGCAGCATGACCCAGTACACCCTGCCCAGAGACGATGCCCTTGCCATCCAGGCACTGTACGGTGGGGAAAAAAAACTGACAGCTTTATGAGGCCACAGTAATAAAATTTTACAGAGTCAGTACCTGCACACATAGCCACAACAAATAGATCCCACTTGTCTTGTCTAGGTTCTTATAAGACCATAAAGCTGGGTGTAATGGCCCCTCCTGAGAAATGCGATCCCGGCATGACTTTCGATGCAGTGGCAATGATCGGGCAGGAATTAGCTTTCTTCAAAAACAGGTATGGGACCTTCTTAATGCTAATCTCTTTAAGGCATATAATTGTGATAATCAATGAAATTGTGACATAGATCCACACATAGCTGAAGATTCCTTATATGACTCAGAATACCTATTTCATTGCATATTTCCTTGCATAACTTTCAACCCCCCCCCCCCCCGCCCCCACCCCCACCCTGTCCTGGATAACCTTTTGTAAGATGAAGGGACGAAAACAGATGACTTCATTATGTGGCAGAGTCACCTTTTTCCACAATGACAGCTTTCAGTCTAGTTGGTGCCTATCAGCTTTGTACACTGGTTAGCAAAGATGTTCAATCACTACTCTTGACAAATTTTCTACAGCTGGAGCTGGAGCACAGTTCATTGGATAGTGCTTGTAGAATCATGTCACCTTAGTATAGCAGCATATCCTTGTAATATATCACCTGAAGTACATCACCTTAGTGTAGCACAATATCCCTGTAGTATATCACCTGCAGTACATCACCTTAATATAGCAGTATATCTCTGTAGTATATCACCTGCAGTACATCACCTTAATATAGCAGTATATCTCTGTAGTATATCACCTGCAGTACATCAGCTTAGTATAACA